AGCTTAAACTTTGCCAGGATATTCTCTCTGCAAGTGTAAGCTAAAGATTTTAAATCCAGCTATTGCACATGTTTATACCGCGCGTACAGTCACGTCAAATTTCGCAGTTGGCACTGTGCTAACTGGAAAATCAGCCGGAAAAATAAGCTGAAATTCTGTCGGAATATTTGCTGGAAAATCGTCTGCTTAATTTGAGCTTCGAGATGCATTTGCGATTTGCACTTGGGGCACTTCAAAGATATTTGTAGCGAAGTGACTATTTCGTTAACGAAACAAGTCGCGAAGCTGAAATTTTGCAAGGATATTCTATATTTACGTGCGGTCTTAATTCAGTTTAGTGATGAAATTTCCTGTGCGCAGACGCGAAAAATACTCAATTTTATCGCAAACTCAGAAGCGAGTGCATTTTGCAGGTTTCATAATCCTCTTCCACTTCAGGTTTGCATATTTTTTTCATTGAACAAGCATTCACTGGAAAAACGACCGAGCTTTATGCAAAAAACTGATGATCATGCAGCTAGGGTCCATGCGGCCCATAATGTAACATCTCTAGCTCAGCCAGCGCTCCTTACCCCTGCATGACGAAAAAGGCCAAAACACAGTCAATTATGTATTTAGTGTTAAAATACTTCACAGAAGCCATTCCTACTCTTAGCAATCTGCAAGTTTAGTGCAAAAATGCATGATCACATCGACAGGTCTGGTGTGTATATGTGAAAACGCAAAATAATGTGCCTTAATTGTTGAATTTTACTTTCTTGCTTGTTTTCAGTGATTTCCTCACGTCGTTTATTTGGTGCACCTTTGGACTGCTGATATACTTATGAAGCGAGTTAAGTCTAGGTCTCACGTACAGGCTCCTTACAAAGTTTGTGTGTATTTTATTAGGTAGTGCAAATGTATGCGTAAAGTTTGATCTATAGGGAGACACGCGCCAAGGCTTTGACCCTGGGTTGATAATCTGTGATCTTCATTAACGATGCATATATGCTGTTGTATTAGTATGTATAATAAAGTTGCCCTAACTCGATCGGATCGTCATGTCAAGATCGGCAGCACTGTCACTCGTCCCGCGTACAATCCTCGTTCCTACATTTCGTTAAACAACGCCCCTTCCATTTCTTCTCTTTCGTTCCAGACAATTCAACGTCGGGAATAACAAAGTAACAAATCTTTTGGCGCGAGAGTGATTTCGGGAATCAGCCAAGCTAGGCAGTTAAAACTTATATGAGCTAAATATTTTAAATTCAGCTCGGCGTATGCGGGCATACGGGCACTTCAAAACTAACATTTCGCAATATCTAACAAAATGCCAATTTGGGAACTAAGTGTGAAGTTCTAATTTTAAAAAAATATTCGCTGTATATTTGTGAGTCTGTACAAGTGAAAATAGTATTCGCGTACACCCGTATTGGCCATACGAGCACGTTGAACTATTTTGAGGGAGAAAGTGATTTCGAGGGTTAACTGAACTGGGAGTCCGAAACGTTCTGAGATTTGAAGAAGCGTGATAGGAACATTTGAAATTCATCTTATACACAAGTCCAGATCTCGTGTATGAGCAGGCGACACTTCCAGTGAGTCCACTGCTAGCAGCGATTTAATGCGCGTTTCAGACTATGTAGGCATCTGTAAGTTTTTGTGAAGATATTCGTTATCCATGCACCCATAAAATCTACGTCTGCGACTCGTGCCTATTGCTAAGACACACCAGATGCTTCTTGCTGTGGACAATCTTTTCTTTCTGAAAATTTTTAAGCGGTAAGTCGTCTCGTTGTGATCTCATCTGTATAAAATCACTCTTCGTTTGTGTCATTTCCGCGCAGATGGGCAAACAGATTTCAGCTGTCTATTTAGCTAGTAGAATAAACCTCACTTCGAGCTTCTGCACTTTTCATTTTACTATGCATAGGGACTATGCTTCCCATGATTATGGTGATTTGCCTGATAGCTTATTATTAGCGGCATTCGTTTTGCGTCAAAGCAGTGTTTAGAAGTGATTGATGCTCTTTGTGGGACCTCTTTCGCGCATCAGAAACTATCGGTCTGTCAGTTCCTGTCTCTTTCAACTCCTCTCAAAGCAAAACTTAGAAACAGTAAGACAGAAGCACGTCCATTAAGCGGCCTCACAGGAGCATGAAAAAGCGCAAAACGCATAATCGCACCCGCAAGTCCGGTGAGTCCCAGTCTGAGTTTTGACTTCGATTGATTTTGAAGTATCAGGTGAGTGATAGATAAATTTTTCACAGTTTAGTTCTATGGTGCCAGTGAATGAGCATTAAGAAGACACACATTGTTAACGAAGCAGTCATTGCTATCCTCGATTCTCGGTAATTTATTACTGTCGAAGAGAATTTGTCTCAGTCATTGGTGTCGCTTCGCGCAACCGACAATGAAATTTCATTTATTGCCAAGATTATCGTGCGAATGTACTGAATACGAATGTGCAACAATACCGTAATTTCCCACGAAATTTTTGGAGGTTCCATTCTACTGCTCTCTCTCTGCAAACTTTCTAGCATAGATACCAGAGATTTTATGGTTAATTCAAATATTGCTGAATGCTGAATAGCTAAGCAGCAAGCAGGTATAGCTGTACAAAACATAACGGTTAGAGTTGTCAAAAATGTCCGTTTTGTAAAAAATCAACTGGGGAAGGTAATATTTCAATGTTTGCTTGAGTTCTATTTTCTTCAGACGAATATTTTCCAGATGATTCCGGTGTGGAACAAAATATCATTCTTTGCGCTTTCTTGGATGCTATCCAGCCTTTATGTCCTGTGTATGTCGTTACTGCGTCTTATCTTATCTGCAGCGTGTAATTATAAATCTTTATTCATTTTTACGCGTTTTTGCAAATATGCAAATGCAACCCAGGCTGGAACGTACCAGGCTCTCCGGTGCGATTAGCAGGAATGATCCCTACGCGGTAGCCTAACACTTGGGCTAATATTGGCCGTGCTCTGATCATTTCTGGCATGCAGGAGGAAGGGCATCAGTTGGGACGAAGGTGATGCATCATGAAGCCGCACGGACATCAAGGTGCATGATTGCCGATTTTTCGCATGAAGTCCGGTCGGTTTTCGGTAAATGCTCGCTTTGTGAAAAAATGACAAATGCAAATTTTTTGAAAAAAAGCAAATTTCCAGTTCACTAAAAAGTGAAAGTACTGCCCGAGCGGTCGTTTATCAAAAAATGCACGTTCATTTACATTTGCGATTGCGGTTAAGGTCCGAGCTGCGAACGAATTTTTTGAAAATATGCAAATTTTCAGTTCATTGAAAAACTGAAAGTATTGCTCGATCAGTCGTTTTTCAAAAAATCCATGTTCATTGGCACATATAATTGTGGTTCAGGTCCGAGCTGCTAACGATTTTTGGGTTCAGGAACTGTTTGAGGCTGTGGTTGGGGAGCTAAAGAGCTGAGTTTAAAATTTTTGTCTTGCACGTGCATGGAGAATATACCTGCAAAGTTTCAGCTTTCTACGTTGCCTGGTTCGCGAAATCGTTTCCCGCCCGCGCACGGTGTTTGGGCGCGTATAGGGGAAGATCTTAAAACGGGAGGCTGACGCACGGGGCAGAAACATATATCCAAAGTTTCAGCCTCCCAGCTTCCCTGGTTGCTGAGATGAAAGTGGGTGACAA